GAAAATGATTCTCTGGTTGACATTATCGAAACACTACCGTCTAATTAACGCACTAAAAACTAATAAATCAATCGATATCAGGACGTATCACTCGATGATCGACCGGCAAGTGGTAGAGAACAGGGATCCAACACAGTAGCTTTCACAGCGAAACCGAGACCGAAATGAACATTTCAACGTAGCATTTGTCCGAAGGTACGCCAGTCAGCAGTTGTGACATAACGACGCAACGGAAACGAGCAAAGAGGGAAACAAACGAGAGCAGGAGCGGCGCATTGTCATCGACGACCATCACGACATCTGAGAACGTGATCGCTCGGCCGCAGTGACCACAACTCGCCGTCACTCATCACCTCGTCGAATTACGTCGAAACACGCAGTTACCAGGCTAGCATCGATGGCGATTTCGGAGACATACGGTCCGCGTAATTACGTCCAGTTCACCGTTCGTCTTGAACGGACCGACTGGTTAATCGTTGAAAAAACGAAACTTCAGAAGAATGAAAAATGAAACCTGTTTTTGTCCATACGGATGCTCTAAAGCCAATGAAATGAACAAAACGGGTGGATATGATAGCCAGCCATTCAACCGCAATTGGGAATCCTCTCAAAACTGATAATGATTCTTTCAGTGCTGCTAGATTCTTTTCATTCACGGATCGTCGATTCACCACCTACCGACTGGCATGCTCTAAAAACTGTCAGCAACTCGGTGTGTCCATGATCATACGGCGAAACTCGGCATAAACGATTTCGCCTCCATTGCTTCCAAGACCGACATCTTGCGACTTTCGAACAGGAATATGTTACCATCAAATGAGATACTGCCAATCAATGTGAACTGTAGCGTAGCGTACACAGTATTCCATGTTATTCAACGAACTTCTAGTTTAAGGGAATTTGCAGTCAATATGATTTTACGACGTGCTTGAATCCGAACCCGCATCATTAAAGTACAAAGCCGAACGAACTTCCTCAAACTGTCTTTGCACGCCGCTTGACAGACTCTTTATCGTTTTAAGCATACTTATGAAGACCGTGTGTCCGTCGAACGAATTAAAACGAGATAATATCTCGTGAAAACTCGACAAACTCGAAGTCCATTCAGTATTCACATCTGCACGGCGGCACGTCAGCATCAAATATGCAGTGAACAGAATATAAGACAGGCTCGCATCGTTGCAGTTCCAAGGAGACCGAATTCTACATCGCCACATTGTCAATTACTGGTGGCGAAACGGGCTTCTCTATCCATCAGGGTTGACTGTTTTTACGACTACTGCCCTTGTCGAAATCGCTTTGCAAGAGATGCTTCCGTGCACATCGACCACTGCTTCGTGGTACGTTAATACCTTTATCACTAATCCTTTCCTTGATCACATCATCCAGCTCTTGGTTGACAAGATTTTCATCCACTATGCGCACCAACTCGTCTCACACGTACGCTGTTCTGGGTTTCTGGACTTTCTAAAGTTGAACGGTCTAATAAAGCACTTCGGACGAGGCCAAAATCACTGCAGCTCATTCATTCAAAAATGTGGGTTCGACATCCAAAAATATGCTAATAAGCAATATGCTAATATGCTTACCAGTTGTAAGACTTCATTGCACCACCACATTCCTTTTATGGACGTATGGATTAAACCAAGCCATGTATCGATTGCAGGTGTCAAAATAGCACGGGACCGTAGTCTGCTAATCAGGTCCCCAACCGCTCGGGAAATATGACGACAATACAATAAAAGAATGAACACAAATCGTAACGGTTTAGTAGCACACTACTAGTTTTCGATACCGCTGTTAAGAAAGATAACATTTTTCTTTTAATACCGGATTTATACGGCGTACAGGCACCAGCCCTTGCTTCTAATGGCCAAGGGAACCATTTAAGGAGGCCAGGGCTGCACGGTATTTGAGCACCTGCAGTACATGAATGCAAAACACGCATCACTGGGCAAGGGCCGAACAAAATCCTGCCGTTATTTTTCTTAGCGGCGGTGTCCAATGTCCAAAACTAGCAGCATATTAGTAAACCGAGAGGATCGGGGTTTATTTTCATGTATAAAGAAGCGTACGTATGGAAGCACATCAGTAGGTGTCCCAACAGGATTTTGTTCGGATTGCCCAGTGATGCGGTTTTGCGTTTATGTACTGCAGATGCTCAAATACTGTGCAGCCTTGGTATGTTTAAATGGTTCCCTAAACCGCTAGAAGCAAGGAAACGGTGCCTGTGCGCCATGTAAATCCAGTAGTAAAAGAAAAATGTTAAGCGAACGCTAATTTGCCAGAAAACCTTTCTTATGAAGACTCTACCCACTGACTACAAAAGCGTTTAACAATACCGCATTTGGTAGAGATTGGATCGCTTACGAGGAAGAATATGGCCATGCATGGTCAATCTCGATCACTGTGCTGTTGACGTACTGTAAATGTGAGTGCATACAAACACGCCTACATATACGCACACGTTAAAGCATATCTACATACCTACACAGGAGACATCGTTGCACCAATGCGTGACATCGTACGTAAGCTGAACAGCTCTGCTGTTGAAGCTTTGCGACGACAAAGATCGCAACAACGTTCAAAAGGGGATCAACTCAGTAGAATGATCGACCGATCCTCATCGCTTCGTATTTGAACTACGTTACGCACTACGTTTCAATTATGCTTAAAAACACGTCACCCACGATTATTGCACGTACGCACATGCATGGCCGCGGCTGATACTTGTAATTTCTTAGGCATCACGTTGCACACAAAAATTACATGAAATTAAATAAACCGATCAACCGCGCTGATTGCTGTTTTATGGCGAAAGTGGATGGCGTATTTGCGCGCGGCTAACCCTTAAGTAGTCGCGTCGGGTCTGCATTACGCCGGTGATATTATTATTTGCTAAAACTTAATACATAAGGAATTAGTGGAGGAGCGAGGGTCCAATGTAATCTCCTAATTTGTTTCTCTTCCTTTCAGGGTTGCTAAAGTCATCGAAATCATATGTAGTCTACCACAAGATCAGGCTTTGACCCGACGCGAGTGCGGGCATCTTCAATTTTTTTTTATAAATCAGTGTTTTTTTATTGTTCCTCTATATTATGATAATATACCTAACCTTGGATGGGAAGGCTTCAACTGCATGGACAAGTGACAAAAAGTTGCCCAAAATTAACAAGAGCGAAGTCCCCTGAACACAAGCTATCATGTCACATTCTGGTTACCGTTGCCACATTAGTCGACTGTTTCAGGGCTCATGACAGGCCTTCAAAATTAAAGAAAGCCCTGCCTACCGGTTTAGCCCTGGAAGTAATCTCTTTCTCCGATAGTTACCAATGGTCTGCCATTGTGAAACCAAGCCTATATTTGTGAAGAACATTAGTAATACGTAATTACAAAAATTACGAAGAGCATGCCGACTAATTTTTATTAATGGAAATAACGCGCATTTTAAAAGGCACAAAAAATATTTCATAAAATTAAATATTCATAATCGGGAAATATGCTACTCAATTACGAAATATTCGTTCATTTATGCACGAAAAGATAACATAACAGAATTTTTAATATCCTGAATTACAACTAATATTAGAGGCTACTGTCATTAATTTTCATTCACCTGAATAACAAACAGTAACTTCAGCCATATTTGTTTTACTGCCTTGTGAGTTAACCATTTATACAGCGACTCATTAGCTGCGACAAACAGCAGTCACGGACAGACAGCGATGAAATCATCAAGGCGTGGCTGGGTTTGAGCTCGACAAGTTCGGTCCTAGCGAAAAAGACAGAATATCCAATGACAGTATCATATTGAGGTGAGAATGTTCCGCCCCTCTTAAGAAAAAAGATCAATATCAACGCTGCATTGCGGCTACATGCCGCTTCGTCAAAGACTGAAAGAGACTAATTCGATTAAAAACTGGGCAGAATTTGGGGGAACCGTCAATACGAAATTCTGCAGGCCATCGACAGCCCTGTCAGTGTGTAATAGAAAAACTTCATGTGCTATGAGAACACGAATAAACGGGCCCCTCATTGACATGCGCGTCGCTCGAACCGTTACACGGCGGTGGTTTCGGCGACATCT